AACGGTGTCGTTTTGCAGCACTTTTGGAATTATTTTTCAAAAAAACCCTTACAAAAAACGAAGTTATTTATAGTCCTTCATATCAAAACTAGAGATTCCTTATTCGTCAATTCTGCACAGCCTTCTTCGCTCAAATCCCTAACTTTTTTTTTTTTTTCAAAATCTCCCCAAATCCCTCATTCCCCGCCATTATTCTTCACCTACAGTTTTTTTTGTCATATGCTATGGAAGGTTACCAACGTGTTGAAGATCTATAACGGGCTGAAGGTTGCCAACGTCCCTTTTTCATAAAGGTTGGTCACTTGCTAAAGATCTATAATTAAAATATAGAAATATATTTTCTTCCCTACACGGGTTTGATTTATTTATTTTTTTGTAATTTTTCTGGTTTTAATTCCCACCTTGATGGATTTTTTTTTTTTTTTTTGGTTTCGTCATCTGATTTGTGTGGTTGATAGGTTAAAATTTTCTAGTTTAAATGTGTTAGATGAACTTAATTGTCCTTAATATTATTTAGTATTAGTTTGAGCTTGTCATTTAGGCTTAATTTTTTTTTTTATGAACATGATTGTTTTAGTTATTAGGCTGCATTTTGTTTGTAAAGAATGACTGCATTTTGTTATTAGACTACATTTTTTGTGAACATGACTACATGTTGTTTTAGTTCAACATGTTTGTAGTGTTGAAGAATGACATTTAGGCATTTTGTCATTTAGGCAATTAGACATTTAGACAGTGTCATTGTTGAGTTTGAGGTTAAGTGTTGGCAGAGAATGAATATGGATGTTGAGTTTTGACAGAGAATAAAGGAACATGTTGAGTGTTGCTAAATGGGAAACATGTTGAATGAATATTGCTACATTTTGCTATACCAACAACATGAATGAACGAACATGAATGAATGGGCTGCAACTTATAATGTTGAGTTTTAATTTGTCTTTTCATATTTGTAATGTTGAAGAATGACATCTTCAAGCACGATAATAAGCAACAACGAGTTAACATATCGTAATATGCAATGCATCAATTGTAAGAAAATAGTGTTTATCAAAGTTTCTGAATCTGCAAAAAGTCCTGGAAAGCTATACTACAAATATTCGGATGAGGGATGTCAATTTTTTAAGTGGATGACTTCTACTAATCTTCCTTATTTGGAAATTACAAATGAAACGATAAATGTACAATGAATTGAAGAAGATGTAATGGCATTGAAGTTAAAGATTGAAGAACTTTCTAATAGAGTTAAATGTGTTAAGGCAAATGAAAGATATTTGAATTTATACATGTTTGTAACCACGTTACTAGTGGTGATGCTTATATTTGTGATTCTAGTGAAGTAGAGATGTACGAGCAATGATGTGTTGGTGGAACTTGTGGGTTTAATTTGAATGAACTTATGAGTCTTGTATTGATGGAACTTGTGTTGTGAATGAAGGTTGTTTCTTGTGTATAGTGTTGTGACTTGGAAAAAAGATCATGTTCATTAAAAAAGATCATATTTATTAAAAAAATCATGTTCGTTAAAAAAATGCACATAATCACAATCACACATCATGACCATGTTCATTAAAAATACAAAATACATGATTTTCAACAAAATATCATCCTAATTGTTATCCCAAAGCATCTAGTATCTCCCAATCCAACAAACAACTAGTATCCCCCAAGCATCCTTACAATTGTTGCTCATTGTACATGTCACAAATCATCATCGAAGGAGTCATTCATGAAAAATAATTCAGCATCACTTAAAGAATGCATATGTGTTTAATCACTCGGAGTACCCTGCATTAATGAGAAGGGGCAAACAAAAAAACTTGATACATATGTAAAACAACAAAATTAGTAATAAGGTAATATATCATAACACTTTGTAGACTATTCGAATAACCATATGTCGATTTACACGAGTGACTGAAGCCATGTACATTGAATACAAAATGTTGTGATAAGTACATTTATATAAAAATACCTATAATGTGATGGTTTTGAAGCTCCCTTTTTTTTCTTTGATGCTTTGTTATGCCAAGATTTTAGTCAATCCCAACTCTTTTAACCTCCCTCTTTTCTTTTTAAACCTTTAACTTGGAGAAGGTTTGGGTTAACATTTTCTATTCATTATTCATGGATTGAATCATTTGCTTCATAGGCATTAACTTCATCGCCACCATCACCAATTGATGCATACATAATATTCACTTGTTTAAACAATTCCTCAACACCACGTGACACCAATTGATGTGCAGGTTGAAGACTAGAGCAACGAACAGCCAGTTGTACCATTCTAGGACAAAGCTGCCTATAACGTGATGCCGTCATTAACTTGGGATCCTCCTCATTTGACATGATATTGGGGGCCTGAGTACAACTCTGTCTTGTAGCTTGTCTTCATCTCTTAAATATGTATTGTTCAGGAAGTTGCTTAATATTTATCATGTCCAAGACTTTAAGTGCATGACCACATAATATGTCCTCAATTTCAAACTTCTAACAACTATAATTGACTATCCCCTCATTAGCCTTAACTAAGACCAAATACTCTCTATGTTTATCAAATAATCAAACCACAAATTGATGCCACTCATCCAACACATCACCTAGTGTCGTAATAGCACACTGAAATATATCATACTCATTTTAAAACAGCTCAAATATAGTAGAAGTGTACACTTGTCCTGCTTGCACTAACATTGGAGTTTTTTTTAACTTCAATCAAGATGATTTTTTGCCTAGCGTGGTATTCTGAGTCTGACTCCTTGTACCACTTATCATTCACAACTCTTTTAAAATGTACAAAGAATTGAACAATGTCACAGTTTCGCTTTAAGTACTTGTGTAAGGCTGCATTCAAGCTCTCACTCAGTTGGGTGCTTCTCATTCTTGCAGTGAAAGTACTCTTCATAAACATGCCCCCATTTCTGTCACAATGTCCAAGTGGATTTCACCAACATATTGTCATGCAAATTATACTTTGTAAGCAATGATTCCTAAGTCTCAAATAATTCATGCTCTTCCTTATATCCATACATACACTCTTTAAATTGAGTAGGAAAATATGAACCATCCTTATATATGTTCCCTAAATGTTTCAAAGCATTTTGAAAAAGGTGCCAACACCATAACCCATGGTATGTCTCTGACATCACTTGAGAAATAGCCTTAGTCATTGCTTGATCTTGATCGATGAAGATGATAATATGATATTTTTCAAACATAGCTTGTAGGAACGCCTCAAACAATCACTGAAATGATTCTGCCGTTTCATCATACAATAATGCAGATCCAAATAAGACTGTCTTCCTAAAATGGTTGAAGCTAGTAAAACAAGCAAAGTGCCGACACTCCTTGTTCGTTCTGAATATAGTGTTAAATGAGACAACATCCCTAAAGTTGCCATAATTAATAATCATCCTTGGGTTGACAAAAAAATATTAGTAATATGTTCCTCTATATCCAATTGCATTCTATAATAGAATGATAGAGTTTTAGCTGCTTCCGTTTTAAAATATTTCAACAAACTATCCACCTCACCATACCTCAAGTCTTATTTCCTATTTTCACGGAGGTAATTCTTTTGGTCTTGATGAGTAAAACCTAAACTTTTCTTTCCTTCTGCTTGAATACTCAAAATTCATAGGAAGCCTTAAATGATATTTCACAATCCCCAGCCATATCAATATTAATGTCTTGTGTTCCAGTAACCTTCCATTGAGATGTTATCATATGCATACATTCAGTAAGGTACAAATGATTGTTATGGTTGTCGTCCCATTTCATTATAACAAATTTGTCAATTTTTCTACTAAGAGATGTGCACATATGAGCTCGACATGTTCGCATCTCTACTCGAGGTTTCCTTATTTATCACTCTCTTTTATCATGAATTTTTTGACTTTGTTTACAAGAAACATATTTTCTGTAAAAGACAACATCATATTGCAAACTTTTATTCTAAAATTCTTTTCTCGCGTTAAATCCCACAAACCCTCCACAATTATTGTAAAATACATAAGTATCTTCTTAAGCATCAAATTGCATATCAATATGAGGTTTATTCTCGGTTTCATTAACCCCCAAATCATCCATCACAATATCTTATAATAAGAAATTTAATTGAAATGACATTATGTAGTGAATGAAATGCATAATATATGTATGATATTCCAAAAAAAAAAAATCAAATTGGAACAACATTGATCACAAAAACAGAAAATATTAATTGTTTCAAGTTCCATAAAATATTAATATTATTAACTCAACAAGGTCTTGACCCAAACTTAAAAACTACACATATGCATATATTGGGAAGCTATATAATAAGAAAATAGCTTTATTAATGAAAGAATGAAACATACACATGCATATGAAAAAAATAAACTACACATATGCATATACTGGGAAGCTATATAATCAAAAAATAGCTCTATTAACGAAATAATGAAACATACACTTATGCATGCAATGAAAACAAGAAAAACGAATGAAAAATGAATGATATGCATGAAATCTGGTTTTGATAATGTACTATCATTCCCAATCAATCTTAAGCATGCTGAGAAGAAGGCGGGAGAAACAAGCTTAAGTATGTATTGTGGCTCTTTTTGGCGTTCACTGCATTTGATGAAGAAGAATAAGGAGAATGAGTTGAGAAGAAGTTGAGAAAACAGGTTGTGTTTGACGAAGAAGAAGCGGGAGAAAAGGGGATCTTTGGTTTTGAAATGGAGGATCAGAAACGACGTTGTTTCTAGTAAGGGTTTTTTTAAAAAAAAAAAATTTAAAAGCGATGCAAAACGACACCATTCCATGTACCTAAAACCACCTATTGTCACCATCAGTACCTTTTCCTCCCAAATTCTCTCCATCAAAGTCCTACAACCACTCGCCACCACCAATTTGAAAAATCACAAACCATTACCCTCTAATTGGGCTGCCCTTATCACAAGTCTTCTAACCATTTTTGGAGTATATATATATATATATATAGTTGGGATGGCTTCGAGCCACTGTTTATTCGCCTCCACCTCTGCACGGAAACCACACCACCATCCGTGGTCTCAAAATCTCACAACAAACCCTAATTGATATTGTCTTACATCCAAGATGGGACAATTGCGAGAAGGGTGAATCGAGGCTGGTTTGTGGTATGGGTGGAGTTGTGGAGGCAGAGAGAGAGACGGGATGGGTACAAGGTGGTGAAGTCATGGAGGGACGAGATAGGTAGAGAAGGGGTGGATCCATGGAAGGAACGGGGAGGTACAGGGTGATGGAAAACGGTGAAGAGAGAGATAAAGTTATGACCATGATTGAACTACAGAGAGAGATGAGGGGGGATTATGGTAATGATTGAGAGAGAGCATGAAAGAGAGAAAATCTGAAGATATAATTAAAGAGGTATTTTGGAAATTACAGTTTAATTAAGAAAATATCTTATATTTTGGGGGTTATTTTGCCAATTTTGGTCTTTTAATCATTTATTGACTCCGTTGTCTAATCGTCAACTTCAAGGGACTTAAATATAATATTTTAAATATAAGAGGGTCTATGTAATTAAGAAACAAACCTAAAGGGTCCGAATGTAATTTATTCTAATAAAAAAGAATATCCCATTACAAATTGGATTGCGAACCGACCTTTCTGACAACCAATTCAAAGTCAAATACAAAACGCCGCCAGAGAGAGAGAGAGAGAGAGAGAGAGAGAGAGAGAGAGAGAGAGACTTGTAGACCGAGAAAACGTGCCTCAAGCAGCAAAAAGAAACGGAAGAGTGAAAAACCACCATCGCTGCAACCGCAACGTACGATGGAACTTCCTCCCTTCAACCACCACCACCACCGCCACCACCACCACCAACACAACAGGTATGTTCCTCATCCCCCTCCTCGCCCGTCTAATTTCATTCGCCCCCAACACCTTCCGCCGCCGCCTTCTTTACCATCGTTGCCTCCACCACAGCCATCATACCGTCCCCTCCCCATTCCTCCTCCTCCTCTACCACCCCCGCCACCGCCACCTCCTTACAATCTCCACCAATCCCAATACACCTTCCGCAATCACCATAGCCACCCAATTGATGATTACCCCAGAAGACCCCACCTTTCCGAGTCACCTAGGGTTTCTTCCAATCCAGCTCTATTCGAAGACCGTCTCATCATACCCGATGAAAGTCTGTACCTAGATCCCCGGGTGCCACCTATGGATCCGCCGGAGCACCACCCAACAAGGCCAATCACTCTTGATATCAACCACGAGCCACCCAACCAATACCGATCCTCCTCGCTGTATCAGCCCATTGATAATTATCAGCACGATAGTGAACTTAGTTCGAGATATGGACATGAATTTATTGATGGGTTTAGGGACAATATACAGAATTATGGTATACAACGTAGTTCTAGTTTCAGAGATGAATTTATTGATGGATTTAGAGATAATAACATTCAGAAGCAAGAACTTTTGTGGGACCATAAAGATAGTCGTCACGGTAAAGACGATTATAGCCACAATGATGGATATATATCAAACTCAGATAGGTCTTCGAGGAATTTTGGGTTTGGTGTTAATTCTAATCTGGTTTCTAATACAGAATCTTTAAGTGATTTGATGTCCAATGTGGGAACTTATGAATCGAGTTATGGTTTGTTCACCAAAAATGAGAGGTTTTGGAACAATAGGGATGAAGGTCGGAGATGGCATTATTTTAAAGAGGTACACGATTCTCCAATGGCATTGGAAAACTATGAGTGGGGCGATAGTGATAAGATTGTAAGGGAGGTACCGTATCTTCATGATTCGGCCAAAGTCAGTAATAGAGATGGGGGGGAAGGTACCCAAGACACCATTCACACTCCAAAGAAGCAAACACAGAGGAAGAGTGCTCTGCTTAGGATTCAGTCATGCAAACCTAATAGTAATAGGAATAGAAGCCATGAGCAGCATTTTTCTAAAGGCTACTTGGACTACAATTATTTTGATCACAGAAACATTGGCAGCTTTAGGGGTAAAGACAAAGATGTTCTTGTGCATCCAGAGCACAAAATGGAGAAGGAGAGGGATAAAAGCCCAGTAGAGCTTGATGTTTCTTTTAAATCTAATGCACTTGTAGCCAAGGCTATTGTGGCCCCATCAGGTCCAGTGGTTGAGTCTTGTAGGAATTTAACACCTAGGAATAGGAAGATTAAGAAATTCATAGTGTCTGATCCACCAGCAACAAAATTTGGTGAGGGTTGTGATAAATCGGACAGCTCCGCAAACAGGGCAGGTTGTCCATCTAGTTCTGGGAAGGCCATTAAACAGTCGGCAGAGAAGGTTACAGTTTCTGGAAATGGTATTGCATGTGATATTGGTTCAGAACCTTGTTTTAGGGAGAACATTGATTCAGCTGAAAATGGTCCAGTGAAGGGATCTCGGAAGGGTTCGGTTTCAGAACAGGGTGGTAGCATTTATGGTTCAATTGGAACACCTTCACATGGGATTAGGAAGAAGAAGAGAGCCCTTACCCTTCTTTCACATACGTCAAGTTTGCAGCTAGAAAAAAGAGACGGTGAGCCTGTTAATGTTGATAGCTCCATTAACAGTCCTGCTGCTGTCTCTCAATCTGATGAGGGTGTTATCCATTCAAAAGAGAAAGTTACTTCTGTTGGTATGGCTATGGTTCATGATGTTGTTTCTCTTCCTTGTCCAAATGAACTAACTGTTAATAAAATGGATGAATCTCCACAACCTGTAGTTTCAGAGAATTATAGCGTTGACTTTGATTCTAGTAGGCCATGTGAACTGAGTTTTAAGAGAAAGAGAAGCACTGAAATTGATGAGGGATCTGAGCAAGCAGATGGATCTATTGATGACTTTTTTCCCATTTCAAATTCTGACATGTGTTCAGTTGAATTACAAAATAGGTTTAGTGTCTCTGGCATTGATAGGGTGGATGATGTTAGCCAGCAGGCTTGTCAGAATGCAGTCCCTTTGTTGTTTGAGATTGATCTGGTTAAAGGATCTTCAGAAGGTATGGCATCAGTTGAATGCAATGGTACTAATGGCTTGTCAAGGCAGCAGGAAAACAAAATTCATGAAGGTGCCATATCTACATTTGCATTTGTCCATGGTCCATGTAATATGTCGAGTTCTGATTATGTATGTAGTAGAACACAACGAAATGATGCCATTTCTGATGCGGACTGTGTGGATGCTGGTTCCAAGAAGTTTTCTCTAAATCAGGTCAATGTCCCACTAGTAGATGATATAGTGGAAGAATCTTCAACTGCTGTTCTCTCGGTGGGAGGTAATGATAATCTTGTTTTGCCTAATGAGAAAGCCAGAATTCAAGAGGATACCACAGTTGCAGATAGCTCCAACCATATCCGAAGTACATTGTTGAATTCTAACAGTAGTGTTACCGATTCTCAAGGTATTAGTATTCTTTCTAGCACTAGTCTTGCAGATGATAGGAACAATCAGTCACATCTAGATAAAGCCGCTAAATTACTTGAGCATGATCCCGTGGAGGGATCTTCAAAGGCTAGAGTTTTGGTGGGAGACAATCTTACTGTTATTTCTGGTAAGAGTTATTCAGCAAAAGTCAGGAGGAAGAGGAAAGCTAGGAATACTCAGTTGGATTTGTCAAGTCCAGGGAGAAGTGACATGCCTGTTACTGTAGCTACCTCTGGACGTGATGTAGATAAAACCTCAAGCTCTCCTGTCAAGGATCTTGTTTCTGTGGAAGAGGAACTTACTGTTTCTCATGGTGGGGACAGTGTTTTGCTTGGCAACAGTTTAAAGCAAGGGTCATCTGGGGATGGGCTTTCAGTTGGAGGCGATGTTAATGTTGGTTCAGATGGTACCAGTCCTAAGTACAAGAAGAAGCGAAATTTTTTTGCCCCAGGTTTGTCTTTTCCGGCGCTATCAGAGATGCATGAGGGACATGTCAGTGCTGAAACTTCCACACCCTTTTCAGAAGTGCCCTCAAATGTTGAACATGGTACAACAAAATCAGATGATAAACTTGCAGTGTCTACCATTGATACAGTCTGTTCAGCTGGTTTGCCACCTTGTTCAATGCCAATCACTGTGTTTTTTGGAAACAATTGGGCAAGAGGATCATTTGGGGCTGACTCAATGGGAGATGGCTTTAGGTTTGATTTTTTAAAACTAAGGCAGGATTCTCCTTGTCCATCTGGACTGGGAGCTGATCAGAAAGAACATGCAACTATGGTTATGGGCACAACCAATCATGGGGATGACTTTATTGATACAGAAAGCAGAAACAGAGGAGAAAACCATGCTGATGCACATACTGTGCAAGAGCTTAGGATGCATCATACCGAGGATACTCAATATAGACTTGCTTTAGAAGTGCAGACTCCAGAATCAGATGAGAGACTGCCCAGTACAGATATTCAAAGTGACAATTATCTGGTTGTGAAGGATGATTTGCATTCTTTATCTAAAAATCGGTCGTTATGTTCACATGGTGATGATGTCTCTGCTACCAACTCCAGTGATGAATTCGTGGATTCGGTGTCTGACACTCTATCCAAAATGGGTTCTCCAGAAAACTTACCCATTGTCTCTGGCTCACAGATGATGAGGACCACGTTATCTCACAGCCTGATATCCAATGAAGCAGTTTGTGGGGATGACAAAAAAGTTTATGAGAAGCCTGTGTCTGGTGGTTCTGTATCATTTACCCTCAGCACAGCTTCAGACAATGCCAAAATTAATGTGAAATCAGATTCTGCTATGGTAAGGGTTCTCTCTGTCAATACCAAGACTGAATTGATTATACCCAAGGATACCAATAAATCAACTCAGGATTTGAACCCGGTGAGGATGAACTCAAATTGGAGAAAGAATCAGCCAAGTTCTGCAGTTGGAAGGGCTTTTCCAGGGCAACCGTCTTCAAAATTTACCATTTCAAGGAAGGAAGCCCCTTCAAACCACATTGCAAAACCTAGAACCTGGCATCGAACTGGTAACTCAACTGCTTTTCCTATTACAGGAGCGAAGCCACTCTCAGGTTTGATTCCTCCACCAAGGCCACCTGTAAAAAAAGTTGCGAACATCCAGAGTTCCTATATTCGTAAAGGTAACAGTCTGGTAAGAAAACCATCTCCAGTCACTGCCCTTTCCCATGGTTCCCATGATTCTAGTTCCTCTGCATATAGGCTGTATCCTTCAGGTGTAGATGAATTAGAAAAGAGCAAAGGATCCAGAAATAGGGTTAGTGTTGCTGACTCACCAGGTTCCTTGAAAATGGGAGAATCAAATGCTCCTTCTGAGAGTTCCAGAACACCTCCACTATCCTGCAGTACCAAATCATTAGATTGTGCAACCCTCTATGTAGGAGATTCTACATCTTTGCCTATGGCTGATCCTTCCCCAAATGATTGTCCCACATCTACATTGGATCCTGTGGAACTTTCAGAGAAAATGGATGTGCAGCCTTCTGAGGATGCTCTAAAAACTTCTGGGACTCCTGAATATGAAACCGCTCCAATCAACAATTTGGAAAACCAGCACATGCTAGATGAAGGGAACTCGGGGAAGGAGATGATATATGTAAAGCGAAAATCAAATCAGTTGGTTGCAGCTTCAAATTCTAGTGATCTGTTGCTTCAGGCTGTAGATAGGACTCAAGCACCATCATCTGATGGCTACTACAAGAGGAGGAAAAATCAGCTCATCAGAACATCAGTGCGAAATTATTTCAAGCAAGGAGTTGCAATCCCTGATGATACTTTAAACTTGGAGGGGAAAATGGCTCTCAAAGTTATTCCAAGCAGAAGTTCTAGCAAGAGACATGGTGGTAAAGGTGTGTTTTCAGAACTCAAATAGTATTGTTTTTGCTAGTTAGTACTCAGTCGCTTAGGTGCTGTTTATTTTGTTCCTACAAGAATGCTCGTCAACTGATTTATGAAGCTGTGTTAGGATCACAGGGTGAAAAAGTTGTAATTCATATATACATGACTGTTAACATTTTCTTTATGATCATGGTGTTTGATACTTCAAAAAGTGGATTGTCAGACCAAATTTTTGATGCAAGATGCTATAGTTTCGCCCATAAGTGCTGTTATAGAGGTTTAGTTTTATTTAAAACGGTTGGAGGTTGATTGGGTCTCAATATATTAGAGTAGGGGGCCTGTTCAAAACTGTGATTGATACCCATGAACAGTAACATGTTCGTGGTTTTGTCATATTGGTATTTTCCAGTAGTATGTCATGTGCGTGGCTTGCTAAATAGGAAGTTTAAGGTCAGAATAAGGAGATAACAAAATCAGTTCATGGATTTTAAAGGCTGAAAAAGTGCAGAAAAGTTGATAATTGAAGAGAAAATAGAACTTAAGGAATTGCTCCTAGAACCATTAGGCATAAATCTTGGGGTTTGACTTGCATCTCAAAATCCTTAAATAGCACTATTGCCAGATATTGAGACGGTCATGGTCCTCATGGATATGTGCAGGCTATCAGACCTTTTCAAATCCTACTAGTACTTCACTCCAAAATTTTGAAACTTTAGCAACTTAATATTTTCTAAATCACTAAAGACAAAAAATGCTCAATAACCTGTCAATATAAAAATTAGGGATGGCTTTTGAGCCCATGGATGAGTCTACAAAGTTAATAGAATTTACTACAACTAACCAGCAGCATTCTACCCTTTTTTTTAGCCAAAGAAGCTTGCCAACCTGAAATAAGGACAAAATAGAACTATTACAGAAAATTGATTTAAGGGTGCCTTAACCTTGAAATGGTAACCATTTCCAGGATTTATATCTTGAATTTTTCCTTACCTGTGCCTCTTGTGGCCTTTAGTGGTTTTACTCTAGGTTTTGTGGTGCAAAACTATAGTAGCTTAAAAAATTTTGGAAGTGCATTTTTCACGGCCTATAACAGAATAGATTAAATTTGACTAATGTTGTCTGTTGACTGTTAAACATTGCAATACATTTTAATTCGTCTCTATTCCTTTTTTTACCCTGTTCTTGTTAGTAGTACCAACCTGCTCATCTTAGTAGATTTTTGTTTTTCTTGCTCACATAATCTTGTGATGATGGTTAAGTGGATTTCACGTTGCCCAATATCTCTCAAGAAATTTATCATCATTCCAAATAGGAATGACGTGGAATGGATTGAGACACTAAATGTTGTACTTTATGATATAGGGAAAATGGGTCTCTCTCTCTCTCTCAGGTGGAGGTGGTGGTGATGGTGTAAAGGGATGAAAATGTCCGAGAAAACCTAATTTTTTTTCTTTTGAACTTGTTGCCATTATGCCATTGGTTTGCTCATCCAATGCTTGTATACTGAGTCCGCCTCTTCTTCTTTGATGGCTTCGGTTGTATATGGTGTTTTTGGCTCCTCAGTTGTATGTCTGTACCTTTCATTCTTATCTTTTAGTTGTGGAGAATGTGTAAAGAAAATAGTCCTTGTTATTTACTGATATTGGGTTTTCCATCTTTGTCCTTATCATGAAGCTGTGTGATCGTCATTCTATCAGCAACATGAAAAGTAATCATTCTAGTTGATATTTTTCGTCCTGCAGCACGTGATAATCTGTGTTGTAAAATTTTATTTCCTTACTGTAGATGAGTAATATGGAATCAGTTAGGGTTCTTTTGAGATGGTTAGTGGGCAAATAAAACTTATTTGGTTCAGTACTTGTAGGTTCAGGAAAGAAATTTAAACCGTCAAAGTTCTCTTGGGTGTGGACGCTTGTGGGTACAAAGCCATCCAGGAAAGATGGTAATTCACTATCATGTCAGAAGGTGTGGCCACATCTATTCCCATGGAAAAGAGCTACGTACTGGAGAAGCTTCATGCACGATGCAGCTTCCAATTCCAATTACAGTTCCTTGTCGACAATCAGGTATATTAGCGGTTTGTTCCGTTCCTTCTGTTTCTGCTGCTTGCTTCAGAATTTATCTTGTCTCTAATTGTTTGCCTACGGAAATAATGAGGTGTAATTTTCTGCTTAGTCGGAAATTGTTGCTTTCAAGAAAGAGAGATACCATTTACACAAGGTCGACCCATGGTTTTTCTCTTCGAAGATCCAAGGTGTTAAGTGTTGGTGGCTCTAGTTTGAAGTGGTCAAAATCCATCGAAAGGAACTCAAAGAAAGCCAATGAGGTTCGTTGAGCTGTACTACTCATGAACAGGACTTTTTTCTGATTGACAATCAACTAGGTGGTTTTTTGTGGGTAAATGAACTTGCTATTAGGAATAATCTTGATTATGCTCTTCTCCTTAGGAAGCTACCCTAGCTGTTGCTGCAGCAGAGAAGAGAAAGAGAGAACAAAATGGTTCTGCTTGTGGTATCGACGAGACAAAGAGCAAAAGTCGTGGTTCCCGTAAGTCAGTTCATGGTATAAAGCTGCGTCCACGTAGGCCAATCAACAATCCTGGTGTGGCAGATAATTATTTTATTTTGTTTTTGGTCAAAGAAAAGGTTTAAGAGGATGGTTGGTATGCGCATGTTGCTGCACCTTCGTTGTGTGTGCTTTTAAGAAGGGTGCTCTGATATTATTTGATATTATTTTGACTTCCATTTCAAGGAAAAGAGAAAAAAAGAAAAAGAGTGCAATATGATCACCTTTCCATTTTGCAGGAGAGCGTGTATTCCGTATTGGTTCAGTCCGATACAAGATGGATCCAACAAGAAGGACCCTTCAGAGGCTTTCAGGTGGTCCATTCCTGATTTCAGTAGGCCTTGGTTTATGCCTAAAATATGTTAATTCTTTTTTTTGTACTTCTTTCTGCTATGATGTGGTTGAAATAGCACCATCAGAGCACGAATATCTATCATTTTGGATATCAGATGCCAATAACTGCAAGGTTCCCAGTAGCACTGTATTCTAATAGTGTATTTTGCAATTTTTCATTTTATGCATGCTAGGAGTTTTTAGTTTTATATAGCTGTAAGATTTGATCTTAAGCAGAGTAGTTGAAATGGGACATCATTTTCACATATGGTTGTGCAAAGTAGTTTACACCTTGAATAGATTGAACAGTAAAAATGAGTCTGGCATGGACCACATGGTCTTACTACTCAACTCATAGTCTATGACCTAAGTTTTCCCTATAACCTTAAGAAAGCCAAAAAAACGAACCAGCAACGGCCCATAACTTTGGGCCACAGTTTTCTCTCTGATATGCTGGAAAATCTGGCAATGAAGATATAAGATATCTTTTTGGAATATATTTAGTCTTCCACAAAAACTAGTGGAAGACACCCTGAACTCTATAGTGAGAAATGTACCAAAATTCTCTGGGGTGACTTCTGAAAAGGCCCAAAAGTCAAGGTAAGAATTTGTGGCCTAGTCATTTCACCCTCCACACTGTAAAAGGAACTTTGAGGGATGCTGGAAAGGGAATCCAGGTCTTGCAGGTGGTGATGGAGTACTTAGAGACGATCTAGGTCGTTGAATAGTTGTTTCCTTGTTCAATATTCAGAACTGCCTTGAGGATCTGGAAGAGTTGTGAGTGTGAGGTATGCATCATGGCCTTTGTCAACAGTAGGAAGTGGTAGAAGATAGATGATAGTAAATCTGACATGGAGACAGTTAGAGCCATCAGTCCCATCAGGCTTTGGTTCAAGCTTGCGAGGCACTCCACCAACATAGGTTCGGTGTGCAAAAGCTTTGACCCTCATATGGGACCATTGGTTGGGTACAACCTTAAGATCGTTGATGAGTACAGTTTTCATTTTTATTCTTGTAACTGCTGTTATGGGATATTATTTCAGTTAATTGATATGTTATCAATCTTTCAATTTGTCTTCGTAACTCTCCTTAGTGTTCTTTGTAGATGAGGATCCTTCGTGCTTGGCTGCTACCCAATTGGAAAAGAGATCCAAGAAATCTTATGTTCCAAGAAGACTAATGATTGGCAATGATGAGTATGTTGACCCATATATAGATTTATTCTGATTGCCCCAATTTTAGTTATTCACTAGACCTGCTTTTGAAAATATTTTATGAAGCTTAATGATTTAGAAAATAAAAATAAATAAAGGATGAAAGAAGAACAAAGGAAAAAAACTTTTATTTTTAGACTTCTGCTTTGTGGCAAGTGCTTGCATATAAATGTTTTCAACTATTTGCAGATATGTGCGAATTGGCAATGGTAACCAGCTTATTAGAGACCCAAAAAAACGAACTCGCATCTTGGCAAGTGAGAAAGTTCGATGGAGTTTACACACTGCTAGATTGCGATTAGCTAGAAAGAGGAAGTATTGTCAGTTTTTTACAAGGTTTGGCAAGTGTAACAAGGATGATGGAAAATGTCCCTATATCCATGATCTGGGTAAAATCGTTGTATGCACAAAATTTCTGAATGGTTCATGCACCAATCCCAACTGCAAATTGACTCACAAGGTGCATTTTTCATTTAATCAATTCAGATTGATGTGGTCCCTTGCAATACAATGCCCAGTTTGTGGGTTTCACCCTTTCTTTTTGGTTTGTCTTAATTGTTTTTCCCATGCAGGTCATTCCCGAGAGGATGCAGGATTGTTCCTATTTTCTGCAAGGTGGATGTTGTTATCTTCTGCTTTTGTGCTATTAAATTATTAATTTTCTAACTCATCAATTGACAGGATTATGCTCCAATGAAAACTGTCCCTATAGACACGTAAATGTGAATCCAAATTCCTCTATATGTGAAGGTTTTCTCAAGGGCTATTGTGCCAAGGGAAATGAGGTATTTCTTGAATTCAGTTTGTTATTTTTACTCCATGAATTGTTTTTCTTTTTGTTGGAAAAACAAGTTTGGAAACAAGCACTTGACAAGAAGTTGATTACTTCCACCTTATTGAGTTCTTTTTTTAGTCAATTGACTGGTTACGAATTTCTACCCTCAATTATTAGGTTCGGTTTAACCTGTGATGTTTACTTGATTTTTGTGTCCAACTTTGCTCAATGTAGTTGCCATTGAAAAAAGCGTTAAATGATTTATAGTGATTTTCTATCTTGGCTCGACTTGGCTTGTGTTATGGGCTGATGTAGTTTGTCATAACTTCTGGCGTTTGTAGTTGAATAACTGCAACATTATACCGTCTTTATCCCCTCCCCCTCACCTCTCTTTGTCCCTCACTCTCAGACACACACCACACTCCACACTCCACACTCCACACTCCACACTCCACAATGCCCTAGTCTTTAAACTTGTGAAGTGTAGCTACGTATCTCTAAACTTGCAGTGTCGAAAGAAGCACACGTACGTCTGCCCTGCCTTTGAAGCAACCGGAGTCTGTTCTCAAGGTTCTAAATGCAAGCTTCACCACCCTAAAAACCGAAAGAAGGGAATGAAAAGGAGATTTTCAAGCGAACGCAAGAATGCTCGAGGGCGTTACTTTGGTTCTAGGCATATTGACATTTCTGAGTGCACTACAGCTGTGTCTGAAAAGCACTCAGCAAAGGATGATCACAACATTTTTTTTCAAGGATTGTTTGCTGATTATATTAGCTTAGGGGTAAGTGATGAAGAAGCTGAACAAACGAATGATCCAACTAACGAGCAAGCAACCATGCGTGACAGTAACTCTTCAGATTTACAAGTAGCTGATCTTGATGAGCTGACTAAACCAATCCGCATTATGAATAAAAATCCAATGGCACAGTCCTTTCTGGCCATTGGCAGCCCAAATGAGATGTCCACAAGCTATGTCTCAGAGGACTCTAATTGTTGTAGATAAGGTACTTCAGTGAGGTATAACCCCCACCCCCAGGTTTGATTTTGTTGTATATTATGATTTTTTGTGTTAGTTACCATGTGCAAAAGTGTTAATAGGATTACATAATTGATGTTACAAGAAGTTTATTTTGTTCCAATGAGCAATGAAAGTTTGAGTTTTTTCCCTTCTCGTAGTTAGCTTTTCATAATCCTGGTTGTTGAAAGCATTATGTATGGGGTATTTAAATGCAGGAGAAGATTGATAAGGTTGGTATGGGGTAATGACCATGCTAGTTGCTACTGATGTTCTACCAATGAATATTAAGCTTTCTTCAGTCATAGATATTGTGGATGCCTAATGAAAAAACCCAAATGATGCCTTATGGATAGATCTGGAATCGCGTTGGGTGAAACGGTTTCGTGTCGGGTGGAATATGTTTGTGTAAAAAAATTTTTCATCCATATTTCATTTGTTTTCTTGTTCAAAAAAAATACTTCATGTTTATATGAACAGATTTAACTATCACATTTGTACACGAGTCATTTATTAACTGAGTTATTTGGCACAATTCATGTGTCCACTATGCTATTGGGACATAATTGAGGGACATAATTTGGGGACATAATGATTTGTCACTAATGATATGATAGTGAAATGTATTTAATGATGAGTTCCATTGTAGTATTAAATAAATTCATTATCATATCATTGATGACATTTCATTATATCCTCAAATTATGTTCATAAATTATGTCACAATAGCATTGTTCTTCATGTGTCACTTGCTAAATAAGAAAATCGATTAGAATTTTTTGAATTCACACAAAAAATCATAAATTTGTCGCACATTATATATGTTTAATCTGTTTATTATAACAATGGGCTGAGCAAAATAGTGTGCACAACAACGAATGTGAAAGAAATCACCATTCTTGAGGTGAGGCAGAGGTCGAGAGATTTAATTTAATTTTTTTTTTGGGAATTTATAATTTCACTGTTAATGGGTTAAACGAGTTTATGAATTAAATACAAAACTGATTCATTTATTTCATGGATTGACTAAGTTAACTTATTAACCACCAAAATTTGTTAAAATTTTTTCTATTTTAGATTTCTGTTAATTGATAGTTAGTTTTGAATTTGTGAAAACGAGCTAAATTTATGATCTAATGAGATGAACCTAATATTATTAAGTGATCTATTTTGATGGATTTATGTACATCTCTTTAATTGATGTGGTTGAGGCAGTTAAGTGTAAATCTTAATCTAATTATGATCTGTAATAAAAGAGTTCATTAGATTCATTATAAATAGTAGGTTATGTCCTCTCTCCATTTCATAACCTAATTTGACTTATCTCATTTAAAGCTGTCAATTGTTTTGAAGCTGTCAATTATTTTGAAGAAGGAGAAGAAGACATTGTCATTCCGTGAAAAAAACTCAAAGATTAAACATCATGAGTCACACATGTATATTCTAAATCGCATAATTTAGGTGTTATAAATTTCAAATCCGAAGTATTAAAAATTCTTACATACCATGCCTTTGAAACGACCGGAGTCTGTCCTCGAGGTTCTAAATGCGAGCTTCGCAACCCTAAAAACCGAAATTAGGGAATGAAAAGGAAACCTTGAAGTTGCCAAAGTGTATGAATAGTATCCGTTGGATCTAGGGGTTGAGATTAGTTATCCAAACTCCTTGATCTTTGATACGGGATCGATTTATTGAGAGCCTTTCACATATAGGTAGGCTATGTATAGAAGCCATTGACTGGAGGATGTGATCATTAATGAGCAGGGAAAAGAAGAATGCTTGACGGCGGTACTTTGGTTCTAGGTACGCATATTGACGTTGCCGAGGGCAGAACTGGTGTGTGATGAAAAGCCCGTTCTAACAAATTCAAGTTAAAAACAGGGCCAGTTCAACGGTGTAACCAAAGAAAGTGGGAGTTTTAGGCTCGAACTATAAAGAAGGCTCTATATTTTCTAATATACAATGTAATTCAACCCAAATTTTTAAACACATGACAATATAAACTCTAGAAAAAGTTTTAATAAAATGTATACCTAACAACTAAATTTTAGATTCAATAATTTGATCAAAAAATACAGTCTATACATTTTGTTTCAACGGTCAAAACTCAATTTAGTAAAAAAAAAATAGTACTCTCTTTTTTCTTTCTCTCTCCCTTTCTCTCACACACACTCTCTTACATCTCCGATTAAAGACAAACAAAACTCTCTCTCTCACACACACACACACAATTTTTCATCTTAAATTATACACCAAATTAAACCTAAATAATATAACCCACTTAATTGCAAACTTTGATCAAGAAAGAACTAAAATGTCAAATTTTAATGTTGTAAATAAATATGACAAATCAAACTGTATTGTTGTTATATTTTTTTTTGTAATTTTAAGCTCTTGTTATATTCTGTAATTATAGATACTATATGGTTATTTAGAACTAATTTGTTGATTATGTATTAAATATAACAACTAGAAAATAATCATCTAGATATGAAAAATATTCCAAAAAAATGAGAAAATTTTAAAATAATTGAATCTCAAAATGATCTATTTATTCCTAATACTAAACAAAACGTCATAGAAAAATAGGTTAAAGTCCTACAAATAAACAATAAATAGATCCCAAAGAATAAGAAGTAATAAAATAATATAACAAAATAATAATAATAAAATATTCACGATAAGAATTATGCATGCAAAACAACTACATTGGATGCCAAAATATACAAAACAAAATTAAAAAAAAATTAGTAACAAAAATTTTAAAATTAATAAAGTCTTAGTTGAGTTTGACCAGATCATAAGAAAGAATAAAAGAATTAGCAATACAAACAATTGAAAAAAGGTCTTATTCAATGTCGCTTTATGTCTCAAGTTTTCTTGAGCTGCCCCTAGTTGAAAATACTACAAAATAGAACATAAATAAAAATTAGAAAACTTATCGATAGAAATGTTTAGTTACCGTCCTTAAGAATAAATTTTCATCTCTTGGTTTATGGAACTCAGTACAGTAGGTTTTGGTGTCCTCTACAAACGTGCACTCGCATATGTAGATGTATTTTCAAATAACTCTTGACCGTTCCCAAATTGAATCGAAATAATAACATCTAATATGATGCTGGAATTGATAAAGTAGGAATTGACTTTATCAAACAAAATTGTGTATATGACGGTAGTACAAAGTTTTCAACGAAACACTGGTCGATCAGATTTTGCTTTGGCTGGTGTTCAGAAACTGTTTCTGTCCAAAACTCTAACTCTCCCAAAAAAAACCATTCATTTTGCATTAAATAGCCAATTAGTGGATGCAATGCTTATTGGTTGCAATGGTTTGGAATTTAAGATGCAATGGTTTGATGTTTTAGCATACCCACTGTTGCAATGCTTTGATAAGCCTTTGCAAGTGATACAATGTCACAGGTAACTTTTGTTTTTCTTTTGAGGCTATCTGTGAAGGTATTGTTATTGCAACCAGCTCAAACTCAAGAATAAGGGACAGAAACTCATATAGAAGGCACACACGAATTTACTGGGACAACACTCTCAAACCTTATATATTGAACTCAACAATTTACAAGAACTCTCAAAGCTAGAACACTCTCCCCTTTTCAGAATGCTCAAGCACCCCTATTTATACAAGAGGAAGACAGATGACACCCTCATCTGCCAAGGGGTAGTTACCACGTTTTTGCTATTCCATAGCATATTGGGCTAGCAGGCTTGGTCTGTGTGCAACATCTGGCAGACAGTTCTACCACTTCCAGTAACTACTGTGGAACTGCCCTTCATCAACATGCATCTAGACTGGGAACGTCCAGAACTGCCTTAGCAATTGCCTTGACTGAGTCTCAGCATTATAACCGCCCACATCCTCCTGGTCACATGCATTGAGCAGTCATGTGCCTGTCAGATGCCCACATTCAGCAGCCATGTGTCCACATTCAGCAGTCAACCTTGAACCAATGTGCATGTTGGGTTCAACCCATGCCATGCAATCTGAAGCTCTGCACCCACATTGCTTCAATTGAGCCCACCCATGCTGCCATGCTCAACCGGGTAGTCTTATGCTGTCTTGGTTCGCTCCAATCTGTCGAACCACTTAGCCACATCACCTTGATTCCGATTTCTGGCATGCCTTGGTGCAAGGTACCACCAAGACCGGCCATTTGCACCCAAGTCAATTAGGGTGTGACATACAATATCTATATAATAAGGGATCGACTTTCTAAAGATAAAAAGAGGTTCAGATCGTTTCAAGATAAAATAAAAATATATCTAACGGACCACATAATCTCCATATAAAAGACGACTTATATCATCTTAAAATTATTGATCCGACGAGTAACAATGAATCTTGAAATATTTTTTTCCGCCCGTAACATTTTTCATTTTTCTTACCCTAATTTATGTTAAAAGACTTTTAGAAGTAATATAGATAGATAAGTTTAAGACATGTACTTAAATCTTTAAAAGTCTTTCATATTATATTAAACTCTAATTTTCTGTTGAATTTATGATATGAACTACGTTGTAGACGTACAAATTTGAGATTTCTTTTGATTGGAGCCTAAAAGACATGCTTTAGTTACCTTACGTTTGGACTGACATTTTTTTTAGCAAAAATGTGTCGGCTTTAATGGTACACCCAATTGTAATACCCAAAAAAAAAAAAAAAAAAAAGGAAAAAAAAGGGACTATTATTGACCTTCTGTTGGACCCGGTGAAGAGTCACCATCCAATTCAACTAACTAACAAACTCATTTTGGGACCGCTCCGTTCTCCCCGCTCACCCGCCTTTGCCTCGTTTATGCGCTTCTCTCTCTCTCTCTCTCTCTCTCTGGAGTACGACACTCTGTTTGTCATTCTAGCCTAGGACTCTATTTCTTGTAAATTATCACCAGCTTCGCCTTCGCAGATCCCGTCGGTTTACAAGAAATCAACAGCAACAGCAATCTCTGCTTCTTTCAACTGTTCAATTCAGGTGCCGGCGTCATGGCTTCAACGCTCGGATCAACCGCTGAGAGCCTCTCCAAGCTGAACATCCATGCGGATTGGATCTCTTCTGCTCTTCCCAATCTCCAAAATAACCTCTCTCTCTTCTCTCCCCAACAGGTTGGTTGGTTCACTGGTATATGTGAATGTATGTGGGAGTATAATTCGATGGAATTATTCTTGATGGTATGATTTGAATATTGGGTTAGATTGTGCTGGCGAAGATGTTGATAGAGATGGGCCAGAGCCATCTGTTTGAGGAATGGCCTGAACCAGGTGTTGATGATGATGAGAAGCGAGCTTTCTTCGATCAGGTATACTATATTATGTATAACTGGTTGTTTGGATTTTTATTTTGATTGGAAATCGTTGATTCTGTTGGGTGCTGTGTCGATGTGGGAATGCCTTGAAAAGTAGTGTATAATACAGATGTAGCAATTGGCTTATCTCCTGCAAACGCACCTGTTACTTGACCTCTATATAGATTGATTAAACTACTCACTCTATCAATTGGTTAGAATCATTCTACAATAATGTTACGAATTCTACTTGTCATGTGACTTTTAACTAAATGTTGTGAAAATCTGCATTCAGATCTGAATGCCCGATCAAAATTTCACAAGATGGGAGTATTGAAATATTATCTGATTTTTTGGGTAATGCATATACAGCATGGATTTTAAGGTGAAGATTTTTTTCCTTAAATTTTAAACATCAACTCAATTTTCCCTTGATTCCAATTCCACTGGGGAATTTTAATGTTTTTTTTCACGTCTAATCCGTTTTTCCTGAATTTCAATTGCAAGTATGAATTTCGCACTCCTAGACACTAGACAAAGATAAGAGAACAATCTTTTTTCAGTTTTTTTGGAATATAAAAAGAGTAGTTTGGATTAGACACGGGACAAAGATAAAAGAACAATCTTTTTTCAGTTTTTTTTGGAGTATAAAAGGAGTAGTTTGGATAAAATCTCAAAGAAATTTTTTGATAATTTTATGGGACTTAGAAAAACAGAAAAGTCGGGATTCAAACATGCCAAAATTAGCTAAAAACAGGGCATTGTTTTTGTGGTAAAGAAATTTGCAGTTCTAGACATTCAGATTTGGATTGGGCTTATGAAGCAGCTATAGGACTTTAACCATGGCTGGCTGTTGTTGTTAAGTGATATACTATCACCATTACTAGTATCACTGTAGATTGAGGTTTAGGTTGTGTTATTTGGTTTATATCTTCCCTTTTGAGATGCGCTAATGGCTATTGCCAATCTTAAATACAACTCTATGGTGTTGCCTTAGAGTTGGGCTTGTGTCAGAAAAACTGTTTATGCTTTGCATTTCTTCTCCTTATGTAAATTTCGTAGATTCTTAGAACTCTTCATGATGTATAGCTGTTTCTTTCAGTTGGCTCGACTTAATGTGAGCTATCCTGGGGGTTTGGTATCATATATCAGAACTGCTAGGGAACTATTAGCTGACTCAAAGGCAGGAAAGAACCCATTTGATGGCTTTACACCTTCTGTAAGTTACACGACTTTATGTTTTGGAAACGATGTATCTGTGCGTATGCTTTACTTCTCGTGTAATTGATTTAAAGTTAGTTCACTGTAGGTCCTTTTGAAATTTGTCTTGTTAAAAAGGTTATATTTTTTTTACCATTCAACAATAGGGAGAAAAAGTCTGTTTTGAAGTATGGTGTGATGATTGAGTCGCTTGACTGTATCAAATAATATAGTCTTTGTCTTTTGGCAGTCAAACCTTCAAACCAAATAAATGCACCAATTGAATGGTTTAGTTTACTTTATTGTTCACAAACTACATGTGCAAATTTGTAGTTTTATTTGTTTCCAAACTGAGTCCTTTGTCAGCTACTGATTCTAGTGAAGCATATGATTTGTTAAATGTGTAAAGAATGGCTTTTGCGTTTGTTTCTGATAAGAATCACATAATCAACTCCCAAATTTGGTAAAAGAGGATTTGGTGGACTGACCATGTTGTTGAGAAGTTTCTCTTACTATTATTATCATTGAACAACAGAATGTACCAAGAAGGATGCTAAAGGACACTAAAGAAATTTGAATCCAAACCATTGCATATGCACTCTGGAATACTATGTAGTGCGTGAGACTCTGATGCTATGCATTAACTCCAGAAAGTTCATTATCACAGATGATTCATTAGTTCTTAAGTTCCACTCAAGTCATCAGCGGCCTTTTCAATAGAGGGGCCCGTTAGACTCCCAGTTGCTCCAAAAGCTTAACAGGGGCTTCATGTGTTGTAGCTTTTTGACATGTAGCCAGCTTGTGTTTGAAATATCTCAAGGTCAAATTGAAAAAATTCTCTAGGTATTGTGGAATGGTATCAAAATTACTGGTATGACACCTTATAGGAGTGGTAGGATTAAGGTTTCTAAGCTCAACAAGGCCTTTATCCCCACTACTTGGGGTTGACTGCAACCGGTGAGATTGGGGGTTATATTCTGATAATTTCTTAGTAAAGGAAAACAAACGAAAGAATTAAATAATACCACACAAATTGCATCTTAAAAAGAGGCATAAGTCTTCTCAAGAGCAGAAGCTTTCAGGTTACAGAAATAGTGAGAACTCTAATAAGTCATATCGTCAATGGCCAATGCAGTGAGCTTACGGAGAGAGAAACAATGGCATTTATCTTTGATTCTTAATTTATATAAGTTTAGGGGGAAATTTTTTTTATATTATGATCATCTTTTGAAACAAAAAGAAAGAAATTAATGGAGCTTTTGGGGTAGCAGAAAATACCTCTTAAATTAGAACTTGAGGTTATGCGGTGACGGTGTGTGATGTATTGTAGATGAACATTAAGGAAATCAATTGTCACTTATGAATCTCCTTTTGAATTTGAAGAAAAACACACAATATATGGATTGCAGGTGGCCACAAGTAAAAGGAAGACTGGGTTGCTGAGTACTAATCTGGAAACAAAATTAATTTGACACTTTTTCTAGTGTAGATCCAGGTGTTTAATTGGTAGACTGAGTGGTATCTTGTTTCACTCACTAAGAGAGTAGCATAAGAAAAGGAAAAAGAACAGAGAAAAATATGAATTGTGTAAGTGAAGTATCACATTTGGATAGCCTTATTTTTGGGGTCTCATTCACTGTCCTGGCATCATAAGGCGGATGGGTCCTTTCTTCCTAAATGCCTGTGGTGAGAGCAGATCCCCCAACCCACCCCACCCGCCCACTAAGAGGCTGCCCCAACCGCCTACCTCAACCCACCAAGAACACCCCTCCCCACCACCAACACCATTCATCTCCACTCTCAGCCACCACCTCAACAGCAGCCCCATCTAAGCAGTGCACATGAGGTGTTTGTTGAAATGCCTGACAGAAATGCTGTCCAACTAACTCTTCTTGCTCTTATATCTTTTACCTAAATCGTGTCCTCCTCGATGCTTCTCGCCTATTTGTAATCATGGACAAGAAGGCTAACAAAAAAAATCGGCAAAAGGAATTCTAAGAAGATATCTTTGGGTGAATTTTAGTTTCTCCATCACAAGAGCATGAAGTGATAGATTCAGATCACCGAAATGAATCTCCGGAGATCTACCCGTATAAGAGGTCCGCCAAAGGATCTATTTGAGGGAGATTTCATTGGGAACCACCTCCATTCATCTTCAATTTTTGTTGGTGGGTATATGCCTCGGTCAACTTCAAAAGATAACCACAAGGAACAAGATGCAAATAAAGTTGCATCAGGAGCTTCTACTTCATCTTCTACAAAGAGAAATTCAAATGATTCAAACCTAATTGAACACCAAGATGAAGTGTTAATGGCCGAGGCAACAAACTTGGCTACCTCCCCAAATGCAAATTTGGATTTCCTGTCCAAGCTGGTGAACGAGAAACACGGTGGTGCTGGCTCACTCATGGAGCATTAAACCATCGGGTTATTAATTTAGAGTTGGGTCAAAATGGACAGTGTGCTATTAAACCCAAATGGAGCAACCTTTTCAAGGTAATCAAAAGTTTCCTACTAGCTCAAAATTGAAATTTCATGATATTGGTCTTGTTAAGGGTGACGCTTATGAAGTCCCTTTGGAAATTGCTAAGCAAGGATATTCTTTGTGGGAGAAATCTGTAATTGGCTATTTCTTAGACTTGGAAATATGATCTTGTTGAAGTGTTAACTTTGGACAATGAGTTTTATATCTCTAAAATTAAACACCTTGAAGCCATTAATAGAATTCTTGATGGTAGTCCTTATTTTTGTGGGGGTAAACTCATGGTTTTGAAGCAATGGCATCCAGATATTAAGCTAACGAAAGTTAAATTTTCTAGCATTCCAATATGGGTTAAGCGTTTTAATGTTCCTGTCCAGGTATGGACTGAAGAAGGATTTGGCTACTTAGGCAGCATTATTGGAAAATCTTTGCACCTTGATTCCCCCACTCTTTCTAGAAGCAGGCTTAATTTTGTAAGGAGGTATATTGAGATTGATACATCTAAGGGCATTACGAAGTCCTTCAAAATTAAGATGGGTGAGGTTACACATGAAATCTTAGTTGAAATTCCTTGGATGCCTCGAAAATATTCAGCACGCAAATTGTTTAGTCATTCTAATGTTGGTTGCCCATTAGCTCCTAAGCAAGATCATCCTCAAATTTGGAAAAAAAAAGGAAGTCAGGATTAGAGGGTCTTACATTGATGAATGGCATGATGCTCTTAAAAGCAAAAGAAAAGATAAGATAGAGGTATCTCTGGTGGAAGGAACTAGAAACATTAGCAGAGGAGAATCATGCTCAAATCCTTTTAATGTTCTTTGCTCGAGCCCTCCTCTAGAGCTTGGGAGCCCAATTAATTGCCAACTTGGAAAAGATGGAGGAAATGACATTTCCCATGTGGAGGAAAATGACAAGGTTGAGGAGTTGGAAGAAGATCTGGATAATTCATTTGATGATGATCTTTTTGAAAGGGGTCTCTCATCTAAAGAGAAAAACAAGAGAAAACTTCATGGCATGATTCAAAGTCTGAAGGTTAGAAGATCAAATATCAATACCTTAAGTATTAAGGACCTTCAGGAGAGTTTAAAGGCTCCGCCTTAGTATTTTTAGTATTTAGAAGGTGTAGTTGAGGCTTGTTTCTATCCTCTAGGTTGACTTGTTTGTAGTGTAGCCTAGAGCTTTCCCTTTAGTAGGGTTGTGTTTCCTAAGCATGTTTGAGCTTTGTTGTATATCCAGTTTTTTTGATATATAAAATTTACCATTTACCCATCAAAAACATTTGATCCACTAGTATGAGAAGCCAATGGTTTTTCAGCACCAGTTATCAAACCTAAGGAACAGTAATCCACGGACAATCATAATTTTGTGTTGCTCTAATTGCTGAGATTAAGGAAGCTCCGTATACCATATCTTCATCAACTTGGTAACATATATCTGTACCTTCACTTCTCCAACGTTCAGGATATTGACTGCTTCATGTTTTGTTTGTTAATAATTTCTTGATTTGTCTGAACAAACTATTTGTGGTGGTCTGTCGAAGGCTTCTATTTTGTCACATTCACCTCATTTCTAGTAGCCCAACATGGGACATCAGACTCTTTTGACGTGGAGTTAAATGATGTTTACTGCACACCCACTCTCTATGAATGACTACTTGAGGTTTTAAACCTCATTGACGGTTCATAATAGAGTGGACAATGTTATTGCAGGTTCCATCAGGGGAGGTTCTAGCTTTTGGCGAGGATAACTTTGTTCAGTTTGAGGAGACTGGAGTCAGGGAAGCCCGAAATGCTGCATTTGTTCTGGTTGCAGGGGGGCTCGGGGAACGGCTTGGGTACAATGGAATAAAGGTAAATAATTTATTTGCATGTGTGACCATTTCCATTTAACGTAATAGTGGATCAAAATTCTGGTTGTCGCAGCATTTTCCTTGCATTTGATCTAGAATTAAATTTGGTCTCTCGTTGTATATTGGCTTTGTGTTCTGCATGCCAATGAGTCCACGTGTAAACATATTGGGTGCCATATCATGTTTTTAGCACTAAGACTGGCTGTTTATTTTGCCCAGAGCGTGAATTGAATCAGGTATAAACTTTTTGACTATTACCTATTTTATCTGACAGGTGGCTCTTCCTTCAGAATCTACGACTGGAACATGCTTCATACAGCACTACATTGAGTCCATTCTAGCTCTACAAGATGCTAGCTGTAGATTTGTGCAAGGTTTGCTCCTACCAAGAATTTATAGCAAGCTTAAGAAATAATGGTGGACACGTTTTACATCGAATCTTTTAAGTGAAATTTCAGCAAGTTAACTAAATATGGAGCATTTTTGTATGAAACAATTATTGTGTAGGCTTATGAGTTAGCAGCAGCTTGTTTGAAGAAGACAAAATTGCAAATTTGTTCAGGAAATGGTTTTTATTGAAACAAACAAACAAAACCGAAGTAATTTTCTAGCCTCAAAAAATGCTGGCTACATTTATCACTAGACAATTGCTCACAAATTGTGCCATTATGGATTCCCTTTCTGGATTTCAGATGAGTTTTTTTGGGAGAATCATTAAAAAGAAAAAAGAAAAAAGAAAAATCTCCTAGACCCTAAGATCTTGTTTATTTCCCATCATAAAACTGCTTTTGCTGATTGTAAAAAATGTTCATCTGAAATCTGTATGACTGGTCATGGGGGAAAAACTTATGGTATGAAATGTGGAGATTCAATAATTTTTAATCAATTTGTTAATAGAGTGAAGACTGTAATATGCTACTGGAGTCGGGATCGTAGTGTGCATGACAGTTTCTTTCTCCAAGTATAAAGATGTAATTAGAACACAAATCAATTTTGTAAGAGCCATATCCGGCAGTGCACTAAGTTATAGCTCCAGAATATTTGTTTACCAACTTTGCACTGATCATTTAACAGATATGAGGTGGCCCAGGTAGTTATCGGCCGATAAGATTTGCGAGTTCTTTTTTCTTTTCTGCTGAGATATACATGGAGCAAGATTGCATACACAAACTTTTTTATATCGGATAGGATGTGCCTTATTTGATCATTGCAATGGGCAATTGAATTTTGGTGCTTATAATCTTGCTCTCTCACTTGGCGAACACCAGATAACTTCTTTGGGTCTCATTCTGTGAGACGTTTTTCAAGGTGATCTCTACATTAAACTGATAAATGAGTTCCATGCCTATAAACTTATACAGCTGCTTTAAAATTTGAAGGTGAATGCCGAAGAGAGATTCCTTTTGTTATAATGACATCAGATGATACACATTCACGTACTTTAGAGCTGTTAGAATCAAATGATTATTTCGGAATGAAGCCTACACAAGTAACACTTTTGAAGCAGGTAAGTATCTGATCATGATTCAAGAGTTTGTATGAAATTTGACTATATTGGAATCGCTAAATGTGCTACTGCACCTTTATTCCAGGAAAAAGTTGCTTGCTTAGGTGATAATGATGCCAGGCTTGCTATGGACCCACTTAATAAATACAGAATTCAGGTATCTTCACCGTCTTTTGTATTCCATATTTAACTAAGTATGCTCATATTTTAAGAGAATGGAATTCCATTTTCCAAATTTTAGAATTTTGTTTATGCCCTTTTCTCTGTGCTTTGTGTCATAGACAAAACCTCATGGCCATGGTGATGTTCATTCACTTCTTTATTCAAGTGGCCTTCTAAAAGTATGGTATGTTTTTCTTTTTCACCTTTTTGCCATATTCGTCTTGTTGATCTGGGTTTGCAGCCTCTTCTGTTTTTGGCTGATGATAGCCTAAATTACCAGGGCAAGGTCTCCACAAACTTTATATACATGTGCGAATGCCTCTTTCATTGAGTTTCAAACTCAAAGGCATGGTTTTGGTCCATGTAAATCCATTTTACTAGAATAAACAGAGAAAATCTTCATACATTAAAATGCTGCTCATTTACACATTTTGTTTTAACTTAGTAATGATGGGTAACATAGAAGAAGTTGACTTATGAATCTCAATTTCATATTCCATTTTTGGTGCTCAAACATTGATATATCCTTTGGAAATCAGTTCGGATCTCAGCCATGATTCTGGTTTGAGAAATTTATACTTTGAATTTGTGCCTTACATGTTTTTTCTAAAGCTTAGAGATAAAAATATTACTTCTGTAAGAACACCAGTAATGCATGGTTCTGACTTTGACCACGTTCATTTTTTGACACAGGCATGTTGCTGGTTTAAGATGGGTTCTGTTTTTCCAAGATACAAATGGACTTCTGTTCAAGGTTTGGTTAAATTTTTCTGGCTTTGTCTATATCTTTGGGGGAGAGTTATGTTTGCCTATGGTGGATATATTTATCTTCTTTCCTATATGTCAGGCCATTCCAGCATCATTGGGCGTTAGCGCAACCAAGCAATACCAAGTGAATTCTCTTGCTGTCCTTCGCAAAGCTAAAGAAGCCATTGGAGGCATAGCCAAGCTTATCCATGCAGATGGTACTTTTTATTGATTATAGCATAAAAAGAAGGAACAAAATAATACTTTTCAGTTTCTGCTTCACAACTATGAATCCGCAGTCTGAGGTTTGAGCTTTCTCATCGACCTTTAGGATATTGATTTTCTAAACCATTCTTAAATCAGTCCTCCTTTGATGGACCGTGGCACTTAGGTGAACAATTGTGCTTCACTCTCTTAGTTAAAAGGGAAAATTAACTAAATTTATTCAAATTTTACTAATGTATTAAGCAGTTCTGCCAGATAGCTTGGTCGTTCCTTTTACTCCCAAAATAACTGGAAATAACTAATTTGAAATGCGGCAGGTCAATGGAAGGCGATGCTCATGCACAGGGCCTATCCACGTCCCTAGTTTGAATCTTTGCACTTTGTTTCATGTCCCGTTAGTGAACTTAAAACTTACATCCTATTCTTAAACTATAATTTTTTAATACTCCCAAATCTCAACATCAAAAATATGGTTTGCATGATACAGCCTTCTCTTTCATGGATTTGTTATTTTACTAAAACGAAAAAGAGATGGGACTGGCTAAAAAACACAAGAATAATAAATTTTCTATTTGAGATTCCATCAGTTTTGATATCTGTGTTTCAAACATCCAAGTCCTCTTTTTTATCTGTCGGATGTCTTACCAATGAACTTATCTTTTTTTAATATGCTTAAATGTTTTAATGACGATAAATTGAATTAGATTTGTAGTTTGTTACATGTAGATGTAAGGTTCTCTATGGAACAGTTTCTGCTTTCCGAAAATGTATGTCAAGAGCTTGGTTTAGGAAGTAGGGTACTTCTTAACAAACATTCTTTTGTCATTGTTGCTGAAAATATACCACTATGATATCTGAATTTTTATATTTCGAACATACGTTACAGTTGTCTATTTTATTTGTCAGTCAGTATTACTTGCATATAACATGGTGCAGCACATAAGAGCAATACTTAGTATGATGCCCTACAGGAGCAATACTCAGTATGAAGTTTCATGTGGGTATTCAACTTTAATACCATGTTGCTAATATTAATATAATTGACTTCAGGAAGGACGATGGTGATTAATGTGGAATACAATCAGCTTGATCCTCTGCTTAGAGCAACTGGACATCCTGATGGGGATGCCAATTGTGAAACAGGCTATTCTCCTTTTCCTGGAAACATAAATCAAGTATGTTTCTGTTGTAAAAATATAGTGTTTTCATTTCATTTATTCATGTGTACATTTCTTAAGCATTTGTTTGCTTGCCTTTTTCTCTCATTTGACTTCCATACAGACTCATTTCTTAAGCATTTGTTAGTAATTCCGAGTTCTTCCCTCTATGAGTATTTTTTTGTGGGATGTCATTAATTTCCAAGACTTTAGAATTCCCTTAGTTTTGTTAAGAATGAACCATCATAGCGTTTAGGCCCTTCTCTTTTTTGCACAGCTCTGAGTCAAGTCCAGAGAAGGTTGCATAAGGCTGACAACCAGCAGAACACCCTCTTTTAAGCCCTAAAAAGAACTAAAACTAGGATTTTTTTTTGCTGACAATTGTGTGGTGAATCCCAGCTTTTGGAATCTTTTCTTGGGTGGAGTTGTAGTCATAATCATCTCAATGTGACACTAAGAGTTATCACCCGGTTTGCTGCTTTGTTTTTAGACTGTATACTGTTTGGCCAGTCATATAGATTAGTTGCTTGAGAGCTTTGTAATGACTAATTATTTTAGGCCAAACTGATCAAAATATCTTAATTCAAGTGTATTCCTTTGTGGCTGGCCCCAGTGCTTAACGTCAGGTTGCCTCCACATATGAAAAGTAAGCCATCCGTATTAGCTCATCAACTTGCCTTAACGCACCCTCACTATATAGGTCTGGACTTGTGTATGCTATCACTTGCCTAACAGCTGTCAAAAGTGTGGATTCTTCAATGTTGACAGGCTTATTGTCTCCTTTCTAAAGGGAAAATCAGAGGATTATTGACTCATATAATGCCATGAGTATCAAATTTGCTCCATTATCTTGACACTCTATCTTATCTGCACACATTAGTTGCTTGAGTGCAGCTTACATGCCCACATGTTTCTGGACTGAGATTCATATGCAAACGTCTATGCGTGTGTGTGTGCATTGTGGGAGGTGGGGGCATTTAATTTTTGGTGGGTGTGTGGATTGCAAGCATATGCACATGCATGTGTGGTGCCCACATATGTATGCATGTGCATACATAGATAGGTGTGGATATGAAAAAACACGGGCTATGAGGGATGCACTCAAGAAAATCTCATTGTATGATTCGCTCTTCATTTAATATGTCTCCTGTGACTAGCATAACAAGGTAATTGAATGATCCAGAATCATCATAAATACCTACATTATGTCCTTTCTAATGTCATGTACTTTTTTTGATGGATTCCTCATTTTATGACAAACGTTATTTATGGAATGTAAGGTGAAGTTTATGCCATCAGATTTGGCTCTTTTGGAGGTGATTAATTATTTCCTTAGCAAGATAGTTTCTTTCTTGGGTTGACTAATGCAGTTATCTTCATGTGCAGTTGGTTTTTGAACTTGGCCCTTACATTGAGGAGCTTACAAAAACTGGAGGTGCTATAAAGGAGTTTGTAAACCCCAAGTAATTATTCCCTCCGTTTCTTTGTCATGATTCAGAATCGTTTTAAAATAATGATGCTTCTGTAGGGTTTAGTTTGCTGCAATTATCATTTTCTGAAAATATTTGGATTGCTTTCATCTACTTACTTCCTGCACCAGTTACAGTACTTTTACGTTCTATTGGAAAAAAAACAATCATGCTGGTTCTGAACCAAGACATTATCTATGTGGCGTATAACAGCTCAAATTATATTTGCATCACATACCAACTTAAGTTGTTTGATCAAATATACTACTTTAAAAGAACTGACAGATGAGAGTACAAATTCATAAATAGGCCAGAAAATTTTACAAATGTAAAATGAGGACATACCTCCTTGACCAATCCAAGCTCTCTAAACATATCCACAAGCAAACCTAGATTCAAACTAAAAGACCAGAAATAGATGAGAGAACCCAGCATGTTCAGCAAACAAAATGCGATTATCCCTCAGTTTTTTGTCTTCTGAAGCTGTGTGTCAGGAACATAGTTGTAGCCCTGCAAGTCCCTGTGTGACATTAAGCTTCTACTTGTTGCTATTTGGGTCTATTTCTTTTCCATCCGTACGTGATTAGTTGAAGCTGCGAATACCTCTTTCCTGACAANATCCGTATTAGCTCATCAACTTGCCTTAACGCACCCTCACTATATAGGTCTGGACTTGTGTATGCTATCACTTGCCTAACAGCTGTCAAAAGTGTGGATTCTTCAATGTTGACAGGCTTATTGTCTCCTTTCTAAAGGGAAAATCAGAGGATTATTGACTCATATAATGCCATGAGTATCAAATTTGCTCCATTATCTTGACACTCTATCTTATCTGCACACATTAGTTGCTTGAGTGCAGCTTACATGCCCACATGTTTCTGGACTGAGATTCATATGCAAACGTCTATGCGTGTGTGTGTGCATTGTGGGAGGTGGGGGCATTTAATTTTTGGTGGGTGTGTGGATTGCAAGCATATGCACATGCATGTGTGGTGCCCACATATGTATGCATGTGCATACATAGATAGGTGTGGATATGAAAAAACACGGGCTATGAGGGATGCACTCAAGAAAATCTCATTGTATGATTCGCTCTTCATTTAATATGTCTCCTGTGACTAGCATAACAAGGTAATTGAATGATCCAGAATCATCATAAATACCTACATTATGTCCTTTCTAATGTCATGTACTTTTTTTGATGGATTCCTCATTTTATGACAAACGTTATTTATGGAATGTAAGGTGAAGTTTATGCCATCAGATTTGGCTCTTTTGGAGGTGATTAATTATTTCCTTAGCAAGATAGTTTCTTTCTTGGGTTGACTAATGCAGTTATCTTCATGTGCAGTTGGTTTTTGAACTTGGCCCTTACATTGAGGAGCTTACAAAAACTGGAGGTGCTATAAAGGAGTTTGTAAACCCCAAGTAATTATTCCCTCCGTTTCTTTGTCATGATTCAGAATCGTTTTAAAATAATGATGCTTCTGTAGGGTTTAGTTTGCTGCAATTATCATTTTCTGAAAATATTTGGATTGCTTTCATCTACTTACTTCCTGCACCAGTTACAGTACTTTTACGTTCTATTGGAAAAAAAACAATCATGCTGGTTCTGAACCAAGACATTATCTATGTGGCGTATAACAGCTCAAATTATATTTGCATCACATACCAACTTAAGTTGTTTGATCAAATATACTACTTTAAAAGAACTGACAGATGAGAGTACAAATTCATAAATAGGCCAGAAAATTTTACAAATGTAAAATGAGGACATACCTCCTTGACCAATCCAAGCTCTCTAAACATATCCACAAGCAAACCTAGATTCAAACTAAAAGACCAGAAATAGATGAGAGAACCCAGCATGTTCAGCAAACAAAATGCGATTATCCCTCAGTTTTTTGTCTTCTGAAGCTGTGTGTCAGGAACATAGTTGTAGCCCTGCAAGTCCCTGTGTGACATTAAGCTTCTACTTGTTGCTATTTGGGTCTATTTCTTTTCCATCCGTACGTGATTAGTTGAAGCTGCGAATACCTCTTTCCTGACAATCTTTACTTGTTTTTCCTTTTATTTTTTTGCAACCTGACTGAGATTTTAACTCCAAAGTCCCAGCATTTTTTTGATGGCCATGGTTATCCAAACCCTTGGCTACAGATCTGTAGTAAAGTGGCCATGGAAGATTAGGTGATATTGGGACTCTTCACACATATAGTAATATACCCAAGAGGGTCTGATGATAGAGTCCCTCTCCAATAGCCTATCCTATTTAAATGACCGGACTTTGATTAACAACCAAAATTTAAAGGAGATCTTGGGGTAGATTTGCTAGATTTAAGCAGATGGTGTGCTACAACATAGAAGTGCAAGGCAGTGGGGGCATTAGGAGTAGCAGGGTGCAGCTCCATGTGTTGAACTGTTCCTCTCGGGCCATTTCCATTTGTTGTTATGCACTGCACAGTCCGATTTAGCTAATTTGTTGAGCTCCAAAGTGTACAAGGATCTCCGATTTAGCTAGTGTTTTGCTCCTTCAGACATCAAGCATTGTGACGGTTAAACCATGACACTGAAAGAAATCAGTAGTTTTCTGGTCATTTGTGTGACACACTGACTTGAGTGGTTATTGTCTTTATTTCTATTGGAATCTCCACTGAGCAGAGCTCTTTTGGAACTTTCTTTTTCTTTTAGTGACTAATTTGTTGTTTCTCTTGCTACAGATATAAAGATTCTAGCAAACCTGCATTTAAATCCTCTACTCGGCTAGGTTGTGTAATCCATGTGTTGAAATATTCCTCTCAGGCCATTTCCATTTGTTGTTAAGCTGTGCACAGTTCAATTTAGCTAATTTTTTAAGCCCTAAATTGTATATAGGAAAGGTCACAGGCCTTGATTGTTAATATACAAAAAGGTAAAATTGTGTGTTTTACTCCGGATATCAAGCATTGTGATGGTTAAACCGTGATAACTAAACTGAACAGTATTTGTTTAGTCACTTGTAGGTCATCGACTTGTGTTACTTTGGGCTTTGTTTCTGTTGGATTATCAATTGGGCAGAGCTCTTTTGGAACCTCTTCTTTCTGTTAGTGGCTAATGTATTTTTTCTCTCGCTACAGATACAAAGATTCTAGCAAAACTGCATTTAAATCTTCTACTCGGCTAGAGTGTATGATGCAAGATTATCCCAAAACATTGCCTCCATCAGCAAGGGTTGGATTTACAGTAAGTAAATCTATGGTGTCCTGGTTGATAATGTATATTGCAAAAATTTCCATTTGACCTCTGGGTTCTTCTTCCTTAGATTGCATACGTTATAAAGTTTCTTTTACAAGTCTATAGTTTATTATATATTCTATCACTTCTTAGGTGCTGGATACATGGCTTGCTTATGCTCCCGTGAAGAACAACCCTGAAGATGCTGCTAAGGTATGTCTTTGTCCATTGAGATTGTGTGAATTATTCCCTGCAGTCAAAATGTGGTTTAACAAGTTTTGTGGAAAAACATCTATTACATGCCAGGATAGAGACACTTGGGCATCCATAGAACTGCAATCATTCACCAGATGACATACATTAAATGTTGTGATCCAGAAATAGTAGGCCATTGCCTTTAGCAGTAATTAATTGCAAGTATTGCATTGAATTTTCCTTCTAGTGATTTTTTTTCTGGCACATGTTCTTATGTCCGGTTGATCTAGTGGTGGTCCAGCACTATTAAATGGTGGTATATCTTCTTCCAGCACTAGAAGAAGTCAAGTTCGAGACATTTTTTAACTTGAGCCGAACTGAGATATTATATTTGATGCTGTTTTTGTTATGATATTTGATCTATTTGTTTTTTGGCACACGAATTATTGATTCTGATATCGAAATCTTCAGTTTCTAATGTGAATGACAGCCTTTCTATGACCTATCAAGATCCAAAGAGTCATGTAAACCACTTTGGGCACATTTTTTGAATATAAAAAGGCTACCAGTTTTTCATTCTGATATCTGAATCTCAAATTATACTTGTGAATAACTACTAACAATCAGATTGCTATAATTATGTTACTGCTTGCTAGGATCCCACAAGATCAAATTGGAAACAACTCAGATCCATGTAGAAGGTGCATACTTGCAGATTAACTCTAATTGTTGATGAAACTAAAAAAACGTAATGTCTGTTGGGGATTTACAAATTCCTAATTTTTTTTGTGGAATTTGTTGGAAGCTTATTCTTCATGATTCCACTCCCACCCGAGTCTGCCTCGATTATTTTGGGTAGCCTACATGAATCTTTTGCAGTTAGTTTTCTTTGTCAGGGGCCATATGCTTTGTTAAATAAAAAGCAATCATATCCCTTTTCATTATCTCATTTCAGTGTAATTTTTGGTCGTCCAACAAATTTTGGTTTTATTAGAGTTTCACTTTTGAAACCCTTTCGAGAATATCATTAGTAATCTCTCCTATGTCAATATTCACAGGATAATTTGCATTGTCAAATGACATATGGACAGAATGTGAAGGGAGTGACCTGACAATATACTTTCAACCAGATGCAAAGAACCTCAGCTGATGCTGATTGCTAAGATACTATTTTCATTCTAATTGGCGGAATCCATACATGCTATTTGTTTCTAGAAGAAGTGAAATTTTCTGGTTTTGTAACAATGTTTCATTAGACAGCAAAATCTATTAGATGCTGGTGACTCAATCATTACTTGCATAGACTGACCATTGCAGATTAGAGGTCATAAATAAGAACTTAGTTATTGATTTTATGACCAAAAAAAAAAGTTATTGAATTCAGTTTTTCATAGCCTCCTTTATGAATTTGGTGCACTGGTCATTTGACATTAGTTGAGGTTTGTTTCAGTTTAACTGCGATATTGTGTAGCTCAAGGTCAAGAATTGTCTTTAGCATATTATTTCTCCCCAGTTATGTGTACATATTTGGTTCAACGGCTGGTCTGGACAACCTTGGTATTGCTTTTCTCCCCCAACACACACACACACACACACACTACACCCAAAATAAGCCCCCAAAATGCTGCTGAAGGGATTTAATCTCAGCTCTTTCGTATTTTACCTGTTAGTTTAGGAGGCATCTTCGAAGGAGTTTGATGGCATTCCGCTTTCTTGTATTTTGGCAGATTGGAGGGCCTCATGTGATACATAATTTCTATGGGCTGAGCAATGTTTTTTCCTGTTCATAGATGGATACCTTGTCCATCTATATTATCCTATGATGTGTCTTTTTTTTTTTTAATCATTTTTTAAATTAATAAAGTTTGCTTGTTTCTTATAAAAAAAAAGAAAGTTTGTTTGTTACGTGTATGTTTTTGTAGATGTGTTTTGGTTAGGTGATTTCTCATTGATAGCGTTTTTTATCTCTGCACCAAAAGAAACTGTTGTGAGATTGATGTTTTTGAAGTCAGTGTGCCCCGTTTCTCTCTAATAACTTGTTTGGATTGAACTGAAGGTACCCAAGGGAAATCCATATCACAGCGCTACTTCTGGAGAAATGGCTATTTATAGGGCGAACAGCCTCATTTTAAGAAAGGTAAATTATGACACTTGATAATGCTTCTTTCAGTTTCCATATTCTACCTCTGCACCATTCTTCAATGGTTGAAGGGCAATAGTTGTATGTCGAGCAATTTGTGCAGTACCTCTGACAACTTTTAGCAAATTGTAAAAGGAAAAAAGAAAAAAAAAAAAAATTCCTGTAGAATTCCGGACCAGGGAACATTAAAAGCTCTGCTAATTGCCAGTAGCATGAATGTATCATCATGCTAGCTTAGTACTACTTCTTGTTTCGTGGGTTCTTATGCCAATAAAATGTTTGCGCAAACATTTTAATGACATCTTTTCTTGCCCATGGTAATTAGCAGAACTAGTCCATGGGTAGGGTGGCAATATGGTTTCGTTAGGGTGAGCTTTAGCTCGAAGAAAGAGTCCTCAATGCAGTTCGTTGCTAGTTTAAAACCCTTCTCAGATAAATACAGTTGGTGGAAACCCCACGCTATTCCCATCTCCACAATTTTCTTATAAAGAAAATTTTGCTTTCTCTCTCTCTCTCTCAACTTTATAAGCCTCTATGGTTGCTCCAGGCTGGTGTTAAGGTCGATGATCCAGTAAAACAGGTGTTCAATGGACAGGAGGTTGAAGTATGGCCCCGTATCACATGGAAGCCCAAATGGGCAATTACTTTCACAGAAGTTAAAAGCAAAGTGAGCGGAAGCTGTTCCGTATCTCAGAAATCTACCATGGTGATCAAGGGTCGTAATGTCTTAGTTGAAGATCTCTCCTTGGATGGAACTCTTGTCATTGATGCTGTTGAAGGTGCAGATGTAAAAGTTGGAGGTTCGGTGCAAAACAAGGGTTGGATCATGGAAATTGTCGATTACAAAGATGCTTCAGCACCAGAGGATGTGAGGATCAGAGGTTTCAAAATAAACAAGGTTGAACAGTTGGAAAAGACTTACAATGAGCCTGGAAAGTTCTCCTTAAAGTTCTGAGTTTAGATTACTGAAATAGATTTCACAGGTTTTGTTTTGAATTGTATTTGTGATGCTAGTGAGTTGCTCTTACATACTATCTCTGGCAGTCACATTTTGTCATTTGATTCCTGCAGCAACCCAAAAACAAACATTTTCCCTCCCCTTTTTGTAACTTAACAAAAGTTACTTTTTTAAATTGGGGTCCGAACGTAATTTGTGAAAATGAGAAGGGAAAGAATTTGATTGTTTATGGTGTCTGGTGGAGTTCTATAGAAATATTCTTCTTCTTCTGTATTTTTTCCTCTGAACAAAAGATAAACATGCAACTCTCGTCATGTGAGTGGAGACGGCCTAAACTGTTATTTTAGTGATTAGAGTTGGATTGAAACTGTATAGTTACCCTCAGTATTCTTTTTTCTCAATAGTGAAATCTCTACAGTTTTATGGATATAGGTAAATTGTCGAACCACGTAAATACTGTCTTTTGTGTATGATTGATTTTTTTTGGCGTGTGTTTTCGTACAAAGTCTGTCTCAAGTCTAGATAAAAGTAGAGGGTTGCATGATTGTTAGTAAAAACCTTGTTGGATCTTAAATTAACATGAATTCTAAGAATACATGAATTGAACAATTCAATTTAATTATGTAGGTGATAAAGCTAATATATATTTGCAACAAATAATCCCTCATGCTTACCTACCCTTGACTAAAAATGTGGGTTGAATATCTTGTAAATATACTTGTAAAAACGTTTCGGAAGGCTTCTTCTAAGATGAAATGGCTTACCTACCCTTGACTTCAAATGTAGAACCCGAATTTGGTAAAGAACATTGAAACCCCTGACTGAGGGACCAATTTAATTCTTCTTCCCACCTCTCACACATAAAATACACATAGAGAACACGCGCGCAAGAAAAAAAAAAGGAAAAAAGCTCAGGAATACGTACGCATGCTTGTGCACAAAATGCAGCACACAGACTCCATGACTGTGACGCACAACTACTACCCATACTAGCCGCGGTCATCATCTGTGGCCACCCGTATTGGCCACGACCGCCACCCATTACCAATTTAAACCAATTTCTCGTGTCATTTAGCTCTTTCAATCCAGTACACCAATGCCTCATTGAGATACTAACAACTTTAATTCAATATTAATATGAAATTTCACTTCACTTACAAATTATTGGACTCTTTCTTTGGTCTAAGCACCCAGAAAGAACATTAGAGCATTACGGTTGGGGGTCGGGGAAGGGGCCTATCGGTGTCCCCTCTCCCCTCGGGGGAGTAGGCAAGGAGGTTGGGGCAACCGCGGGTACAATAATTTTCCTTCACTCTTTGTAACACATGCCGTATTAGGTTTTTATGTTACAACTTATTAAAAGTAAGCGAGTTTGATAATATTTTAAAGGGTTAATTACAAAATACCCCTTTCAATTTTGGGTAACTTGTAACTCACTTTTTCAGGTATTAATTTTAACAAGTATTCCTTTTTAAGTTTGAATATTTTGTAATTAACTCCAATAGTTATTTTTAGATAATAAAAATTGATAAAAGTTAGAAATGTAAAATTCATCTAATCCCTAATTAGTTGAAAAGAAATAATACCCTTAAACCTATTTTTTCCCTGTACCAAATATCTATACTTCCCTTTTTACCCTTACACCCTTCCATCCTCCCCTAACCCGAGTGGTTAACTCTTATTACCTTTCCCTTTCTAGTAGAAACCCTTCTTTCTCTATGATGAGGTGAAGGCGAAGGTTTCTTTATTTTTAAGTCTTGCCTTTTTTGTTTTCTTATTTTTTAAAGACAAAATTGGCATTTCAAGAAAAAAATATAGAAACTAATGTACAAGACGGTGAGTGTAATGGTTCTTTCAGGTGTTCAGCAACTGTTGTTAGTTAATTTAATCCTCTTAAAACTTGGAGGGGGCAAATTGCAGCATTTGAAACCACAGAAAATTGGTTGCAATAAGGGACAAAGTTGGAGGGGGTAGATTATAACTAACCCTACTTTGTTGTTTTGATAACTTATTCTACTATAAAACATTAAGATAAGGAAGAGAGAATTTTCAGACAAGAAAACTCTTCTTCTGTCTTTGAACGAACGGAACAATCCGCAAAATAGTATCTATATTCTTCCCGCAATACCATTCTTACAAGAAACTTCCTGCAACTGTTTTTCTCACAATCTCAGCCACAATAGTGTTCACAATTTTGTCAACAAGGTCGTCCAAGTAAGGATAATAGACATTTCTCTAGCATCCTCTTATATATGTAGCCTTCTTCCTCTCTATTTTCTGTTCAAAAGTGCAGGTACACCGTTCGACAATTTTTCCACATAGAAAAACTTTGCACCAGCATGGCTTCTATTAACACCAGCGACTTACACCGGATTTTCGAAAAGCTTGACCAAAATGGAGATGGCCTTGTCAGCCTTGATGAGTTGAAATGGCTCCTTGAGAAAATTGGTCTACACACCAGCCTAGACGAGGTTGAGTTATCGTTGGGCAAAACTAGTCTCGACGCTATTGATTTCTTGTTCTTTTACGATGCTGTCATCAAGGGTAACGTAGGCGAAAGCAAAGAAGGGGAGGAAAGTAACAACCTGGAGACAGACCTTGTTGAGGCTTTCAAGATTTATGATTTAGATGGAGATGGATTTATTTCGTGCGAGGAGCTTCAGAGCGTGTTGTCGAGATTAGGATTATGGGACGAACATTGTGGCCGGGATTGTAAGAGCATGATTAACGTTTATGATGCAAACTCTGATGGGGTGATTGATTTTGAAGAGTTCAAGAACATGATGTTGCTTACTAATCTATAGCATGTTTATTTGTTCAAACGTTTGATTTGTGTGATTGTGATGGTCAGCTACTTAATATTCAACAGAATCATCTACAAATCAAAGGTTTAATTTGTCTGTAAGTATTGCATTTGTAATTATTATTAACTACTGTTTGCATTGTTTATATTGTAATTAGTGACTAAATGAAATGATATATCTAGGAATATTCCCTCTGCGGATTGTATACCCTCACACTTCATAATTATTTAGGTTACTCACAAAATGCCCCTCTACTTAGGCCCCGTGACACATTGCACCCTTAACTTTTACGAGTTTCACGTGATCTCCTTCCTTATTGATGGTGCTTTAAACATACACAAAACTCATGAATAGAAAAAAAAAAAACAATGGTCTTGCAATAGGCTAGCTAGAGAGACTACTATACCCTTAACCAAGTTCATTTAGAAAAAAGAACAAAAAACATCTGCAGAGCCATGTAGGTAATTGGCTTGGAAAACAAATGTCAAATTTGAGATGTATTTCCTGCTTAGGTGAGCATGTAAAATCCATGGGTCGCCTATTATTTTCAGCTTAATTCGTGGCCATAAAGGTGTGACATCTTTTTTGACAACCGAAAATTGTCTCCGTGTCTTTTAAGCTTATGATTGCTACATAAATTTCAAATGTGCGTGAGGACCAACATACCATATACATCAAGTCAATTAGCACATCTCTCTTGTCTTGGGACTCCAAGATATTAACCATTTCAATAATGCTAGACTGACCAAAATTTGTGATAAAATTTTGAGTTCAAATGACATGACAGTTGATTTGGACTTCTTTGATTGGTGTCATGTCATTTGAGTTCTAATAAAAACTTCAAATAATCAACTGTCATGTCATTTGAGCTCTAAATTTGGTCCAAAATTTTGATCAATGTAACATTACTCTAACCATTTAATGCAATCTGAACTATCTTGTTTGATTTTTTTTCCGCTTAAATATTTTTTTGATTTTAGGTGTTTTGTAGTTGAAACATACCAAATAGAAACGTAGGTGTATGTTTATCTATCTATCTATCTATACATACTTACATGTATACACATTTTGAGAGGTATGGAAATATATTCTATCCTTACGGCAAAAAAAAAAGGTAAAACGAAAACAAAAAGGAGAGTTTTTGGCTGACATGTTCAACGTGACATGAAATACATTTTTTTTTTTGGTTTGGGACATAAAATACTAAATAATCTTATTTAACGTGATATTAATTGATTTTTCTAGTCAAATCACCTTGACTTTTTGGGAAACTAAAGTTTTTTTCAAATAAAAATTGGAGAAAAAGGTCAAACTTTTTTTTTTTGTTGATATGTTCTCTCTTAAGCAATTATTGTGAGATACTGCTAGTCTTGAACTAAATTTAGAACTCAAATAACATGACAATTGATTATTTAAAATTTGGATAAATTGTAAGGGATACACCAAATTAGACTTATTTGACAAAAAGTACACACTAAAAAATGTAAGGTTATTAAGTACTTAATTTTAATACTTATTTATATCCAAGTACATAATTTGAATTTATCTATTTTTATTGTGACATTTTTACCCTCCATTAATCCATGTATATTTAATGTACCATGTGATATATACATAAATACATATATATTTATGTATTTATGTATATATAAATATATACATATGCATATATATACTTGTTGTTAAATCTTATATCTAAATTTTGAATTATCTTTTAATGCACCTTGATTCATGCATTTTTTTTTAAAAAGTGGTTTTATTTTTAAATTAATTTAATATCAGAATAGTGTAATAGTGTAATAGTGTAACAATAAAAGTATAACAGTGTAACAATAAAAGAGTAATAGTGTAACACTAACAATGTAACAATATAACAATAATAGTGTAACAAGCTATTTACACAAAATATTATATTATTACATTTTGTCAAACATATAGTTTCATATAATTTCATTTAAAATAGTTCATCTCTGTTTTGAATTTGTTACCATATACACAAAACTACTAAACACTGTTTTTGTTACAGTGTATTTGTTATACTGTTATTGTTATACTATTACATTATTCGGATATTAAATTAATTTGAAAATAAAACTATTTTCCAAAATTTTTTTTTTTGAATCAAGGTGCATTAAATATAATTTGAAAACAAAATCACTTTTCAAAAAAAAAAAACGCATGAATCAAGGTGCAATAAAAATAATTCAAAATTTAAATAAGAGATTTAACAACAAACATATATATATATATATATATATATATATATATATATA